TCTCTCTCTCTCTCTCTCTCTCTCTCTCTCTCTCTCTCTCTCTCTCTCTCTCTCTCTCTCTCTCTCTCTCTCTCTTTCTCTCTCTCTCCTGGCTCGCCCATCCGCCCGCCCGTTCCCCCGCGCGCCTACCATCGGACGGGTCACCGTCGGTCCACCGCTGCCACAGCCCGCTCACAGCCTGCTTACCGTCGCTCGGCTTTTCCCGCGACCAGCCCCGCTCCGCGCCGCGACGCTTTCTCTATGGGCCCCCGCTTCCCTCTGCACGCCACCCCGCTCCTCTTTTCCTACGGGCCCGTGACCACGCTGTTCCGTCCCTGGGCTGGTCTTCTGGAGCAACATCGAGCGGGTACCAATCGCCCCGACCCTTACCTCCGGTTCTGCCCCTTGGCTGGTTTCCGCTGGGCCCGCGACTGCGTGCGTCGCTGGGACCTTTGCATCTTTTAGGTGTATAGAGAAAAACTATAGATAACAAGAGATAATTGGAGGTAATTTTAGAGGTAATTAGATATAACTAGAGATAAGATCGAGATAATTAGAGATAATTTAATCATATAATTATACTACCTTGCGGTGACGTAGTAGTTACCTGGAACCACGGAACAAATTGATCTTCGGCTGTGGAGCTGCCACCTGTCCATCCAACGACGTAATCAGCCTCAGACAGTTTAGGATGGACCTAGAGAGATTAAAAAGAAAAGAAAAGAAAAAAGGATGGACTTGAAAGTTGAAACGTAAAAAAAAGGAAATGTACAAGAGCAACGTATAGGCCCTGTTTTTGCGGGGGAAAAGAAAGGAAAATTAAAAAAAACAATGTTTCAGTAAATTACTAAAATTAGTAGTACAAAGACGAATGAAGCAGAAAAAAGAAGAAGAAGAAGAAGAAGAAGAAGAAGAAGATGATGAATGAAGGCCTTATGAAGCAGCAAATGTGAAAAGGATCAGGCATTTAAAAAGGTCGTAAGAAAAGGAAGGACTTTAAAGGAGTAAATGCCAAATGGTTAATGGAGACAAAATACTAAAATTGGTAGACAAGACGTGCAGCAGCACCAGCTTTCAAAACCATTTCCTTTTCTTTTCTTCTTTTTTTAAATGTTTTTTCAATAGCTTGTGAACCACTGATATCTCCAACTGCTGGAATTTCTTTCACTAACCATAACACAGCTTTAAGAGGCGTTTGTGGGGAATAATGATAATTCCTAATTATAATCATATAATTATTGAACTAATATTTTTTTGTTTGCTTCAAAAAAAGAAGGAAAAAATTGCATGAAGCCTGACCCCAAAAGCCAGCACAAACACAAATTCCCCAAAGTCTGAGTCCCGGTTTAGGGCTCAACAAGGCTCTCTTAGGCGTCTTAGACTTCAACAGCAAGGCCCTTATTCCGGTAGAAATGGGGTCTATGCTTGTGTCCAGTAGTAGTGGAGGTCAAGGCCTGCAGGGGGACCAAGCCCGGACTAGGGGTCAGCAGGCGCTTGTAGGGGTGCTATAGTCGAACAGCAAGGCCCCTAGCTCAATCGAAATGGGGCCTACGATGTCCGTATCTGGTTCCAGGGGTTTGGCTGGCGCAGCTAGCCAGTTTGGTCTGGTAGCGCCTGACCTCCGAAGTTTGTGGAATGCGACATTTTGGTGTTTCAAGTTTGGCCCCGGAACGAGGATTGTCGTTACATGCTGACAGCCTACACACGGGCCCCTCATGGGACCCGAGGTTGGAATAGGGCCCCCAGGTCGCGTCACCGCAACCTGAAGGCCCTATGGCACTTTTACTTGCGCCTGCATCAGAAAAACGCCAGCTTTAGATTATTTCTATATTCTTTTATTTATTTATTTGCTGCTGTTTTTCTAACGGTTGTACTGTTGTCCGTTTTGTGGCCAGGTACACGTTCTAGGACCAGGGCCAGATTCAGGCCCAGAGGCTGAGCTCCTAAAAACGTTTGGACCTTTTCTTTTGTTTTCGAACAGATTTCTACCTGTTCGGACCCAGGCCGACGTTGAGGCCGGGTACGTCCGCACAGGACCGGTTCGAAGCCAGGTATCAGGAAACTGCATCCTGGATAGGGCCTGGACGTCCGGTAGGGACCCAGGCAGGCCGTTTTAGGCCAAGGACTGAACCAGTTTTCGAAGCCTGCGATCTGGACCTTGGATCGGAGTTTCGATCTGCACGGTCCAGAACGCAGGCCGTGGGTTTTCAGTCCTGGCCCAGCGCTACTTAAGCTGGGCCATTGCCCAGTTCAGACA